TTCTATTTTAATATATTTTAAAATGACATTTCACCAGTCTTCGTCGGTGTCACATGATCCTTCAGAAATCATTCTAATATGCTGATTTGCTGCTCAAGACACTTTTCCTATTATTATCCATGTTTAGCACAGTTGTGCTGCTTAATATTTTTTTTGTGGAAACTGTGATTAATGTTTTTCAAGATTGACTGATGAATGGAAAGTTTAATAGAACAACATTTATTTTAAATATACATTTTTGTTAAGAGCCTTTATTGTAATTTTTAATCAATTTAATTCATCCTTGCTTACTTGTTATTTCATCTCATTGGGTATGTGCATATAGTTGGAATATTTACAGTATCATTAAGTATTGTGGTCCCAAATCATAAGACAACATATGAACTTTAGGATAGATGTGTCCCTGGTTTATTTAGTTTATTTTGTCACAGGGTGAGTAGGACTGAAGGTTGTCTGGTGCATGGAGTCTGTCCTGCTTATCTATTCAGGATTGGAAAGGCCTTGCTCACTGAACTGTGACTAATATGTGTGTCATTGCTAAAGCACTACAGCAAGGCTTTGAAACTTGCAGGAAGGAAACCCATGTGGGAACCAGACCCAGTTTTGTGATGTGCTGTAGATTGTACTGTGAATACTGAGAAAGAGGAAGTGACATTGGTCTCTTCCTCTTTTGAATACAGCCAGATTCGGGTTGTATTTATGCTGCTGGCTGTGTTATTTAACAGGAAATTATTTCACAGTTCACTTACAGTTTTAACTCTTCAGTGTGAAGATGTTTTGTTGTTTGTTTCTGTGGAGGAAGGTGCAATTCTGTGGAAATAAAGTAGTAAAGATGAGTGTGAATACTGTTCATTGTTGCATGGTTTTTATAAGAAGATGACTTGCAAACTTGTTCAAATAGAGCAGTTTCGTTTTAAAAAGGGGATCAGTGAGAATGGGGTTTACTGGTTTTTACTTGCATTGGAAAAAAACTTGAAATATCAGGTATTTTTCCCTGGTCTGGGAAAGTCAAAGACATTATTGTTAAGAGAAATCATGGAAATATCAATACTGATTTTATTCATATATGCAGGGTTTTCTTTATGATATTAATATACACAATTCAAAACATTTGAGGTCTGTTTTTTTTTTCTTTAGAACGAAATGAATACTTTTATCAAGGATGCATTAAACTGATCAAAAGTGACAGTAAAGACATTTAAATGTTACGAAGCATTTCAAATAAATTCTGTTCTTCTGAAATTTCTAATAATCAAAAAAAAAATCCAGAAAAAAGTGTCACGGTTTCCACAAAAATATCAAGTAGCTGTTAAGCTACATTCAACATTAATAAAAAGAAGTGCTTGAAATGCTCAAGTCAGCATATTAAAATGATTTCTAAAGGATCATGTGATACTAAAGTTTGGAGTAATGGCTGCTGGAAATTCTGCTTTGCCATCTCATGAATAAATTACATATTAAAATATGTTGAAATAGAAAACAGTTTTTTTGAATTGTAATAATATTTCTCAAATTACAGTTTTTACTGTATTTTTCTTTAGCTTGGTGAGCCTACTTAACAAACTTTTGATAGGTAGTCCTGGGGACGTCCTGGGGACCTTTTTTTGTTAGCTGGGAGTAAGTAGCGGTGGACAGATTTTAAGTATCAATTCTGCTTAAAAAGATGCAATCTAATCCTGTTTACATTAAATAAGCTGCTCCCGAGCAGGTTTAAGCTTACGGACCTTGTTACAATTTTGATTTTGACTGCTTGGTGACTTGGTTCTAAGATCTAAATGGATACATTATGCACAGTAAACAGTACAGCACTACATACAGCATACATCCTAAGATACAATATTGTTACAAAATTTGTTTATGAACATGATAGGCAAGGTGAAGAACACAGCATGAATGCCACAGTCTGGTCCAAAGAATTGTGGGATTGATTTTGAGTATATGCTTGTATCCTAATGTCTCACCTGTTCATGCTGTGACAGTAATTGCAGTTTGTAGAGTAAAGACTGGCCAACATCAGTCATCTAACCTGATATTAAACTGTGAGAACATCTAATGGAGGGTTTGACTCATTTAATAACTATCCATGTCAGTAAGAGCTTTAGTGTGAATGAGACAACTGCTATAGGTGTGACTGAGTGCATGCAAACTGTGACATCTTTAAAGTGCATCATAAATCTAAAAAAAAAGAATGGATATTAGAACTTTAGGTACTTTATATATACCTCAAAAATTTCCATTTGTCTCATTCTGCTTCCATTATGCTCATTTTATTCTTTCTCTCTCTATTTGTTTCCCTCAGGGGGAAGTTTGCAGTGGTGAAGAGGTGTGTGGAAAAGACCACTGGGAAAGTCTTTGCTGCAAAGTTCATCAAGAAGCGGCGACGAGGTCGCGACTGCAAGGCGGAGGTCATTCATGAGATCGCTGTTTTAGAGGTGGCAAAGAACAACCCTCGTGTGGTGAACCTGCACGCTGTATATGAGACCGATCACGACCTCGTTCTAATGCTGGAATAGTGAGTGCTGTGATTAGATATATCAGTTGTATGTCCCTGTTCATGGAACGGTTGTTGAGTTCAGTACTAAGAATAACTGTGAATGTGTTTGTGCGCCAGTGCGGCGGGTGGTGAGATATTTGACCACTGTGTGTCAGAGGAGCTGCTGCCTGAAGGTCAGATAACCCGTCTGATCAGACAGATGCTTGAGGGAGTTCACTTACTGCACCAGAGCAGCGTGGTCCACCTGGACCTGAAGGTCAGATGCCCGGCTGCCTTTAACACCTTCATTGGACAAGTTTTAAATTAGATTATCTGTATTTCTTCTAGAACACACTAGTTTTATTTATTGACACAATGTTTTTTTTTTTCTCATTCAGCCCCAGAATATTCTCCTGACGAATCTGAGCCCATTGGGGGATATAAAGATAGTGGATTTTGGCTTGGCCCGCAGGTTGGGCTCTGCTGGGGAGCTCAGAGAGATTCTGGGAACCCCTGAGTATGTTGGTAAGGTTTATTCAGTGCCATTCATTTTCAAATTCACACATAGCTCTGTGTTCACAACACAGAAGAGTGCATGTTTAGTGAAAGTGATTTATTTGGTGATTAATTTTTGCTTTTTATGATATATTCAGCCCCTGAGATCTTGAACTATGAACCAATCACCATGGCAACAGACCTCTGGTAAGTCTTAATCTTTTTCATCAGGTGTTTCAATATACAAGGTTCCCACAGGGTGATATCCAGACCTGGAAAAGTCATGGACATGAATGGAAATTTCAATGGTCATTAGACCATTTCTATTTATGCTCATAGTTCATGGAAAACTGAATGCTCATTAGAGGTCGGCCAATTGATCGGCCGATTTTTGGCATTTTTTTTATTAATCTGCATTGGCCGATTGTGTTGCAAATTAGGCCAATTTATAGGCAGGCACACAGGCGAGCAGCTAAGTGTTGTTGCCGAATTTCCTGAGGCTGCGTGAGACGGAGCAGCTCACACTCTGCAGCCGCGACTTGTTCACACACAGCTTCAGCTAATGATGGCAGGGCAAAACAGACAGTTTAGAAAGCATAATTACGTTTTACCCTACTAGAATTGATGCCGAAAAGTTATCATATTCATAAGTGCAACAAGTCATTTGCATGTGAAAGTAGAAACACGTTCAATTCAGACGAAACTTCTGGGCTGATTATAATGTGCACGTTAACTTTCCTCATGAAATGTGTGTGTAGGTCCGACAATAGCATCCACGATGTCATCGCTCGTGGCCAGCGTACTCTTAAGCAGTTATGAGCAGCGGGCTGTGTAATATGTGTGAAATCTTTTATTTTTATAATCACTATGGTCATTTGACTTATAGCAGTGTCCAGTGTTTCCTATACATTGAGTTATTTGTGGAGGCTAGTCACAATATCAAAACTGACCGCCACAAATAGATTTTCCAAAAGGCTTATACTTCGTTGAATAAAATGAGCGCTTCACGTTTCAAAATTAAAATTCAGCGCGGGTGTTTTTATATGAATGTATCTTTGAAAAGAACCGACTGTCTTCAGAAAAGCTTCGATGTCATTTTCATTTTGTCTTTCCTGTAATGCCAGCTTATTTGATTACAGCCGTTACCGGGGAAACCGCTATATCTCCTGCTCCAGCAGCGCCTCCTGCTGGCAGAGAATCAATTTGCATTTGCAAGTCTGTGGGAAAAACTGGTGTCTGTCAGCAAACATAAACAAAAAGCATGCTTCAGAACTGTTTTGAGAAGGTGCTTAAGTTTTGAGCCATGTATTATTAATCTAAATTTGGCTACTACTACCATTACTATCTTGTACCCTGCAATAATCATTTGCTCAAACTCACTTTTATGAGATGAATAAAAAAAAAAAAAAGAAAATCGGCATATCGCCCAAATAAATCGGCATCATATATTTCTAAATATCGGCATCGGCCAGTGAAAAACCCATTTCGGTCGACCTCTAATGGTCATACCATATTCTGTTACGTAAAGGAACAAAAGATACTACTGTTCAAAAATTTGGGGTCAGTAAGAATTTATTTTAAATATTTTTGAAAGAATTCTCTTATGCGTATCAAGGCTGTATTTATTTGTAAAAAATACAGTGAAACCAGTATTATTGTGAAATATTATTACAAATTTTAAAAGATGTTTTAATAATATATATATTTTAAAAGGGTCATATGATGCGATTTCAATTTTTCCTTTCTCTTTGGAGTGTTACAAGCTCTTGGTGCATAAAGAAGATCTGTAAAGATGCAAAGACTAAAGTCTCAAATCCAAAGAGATATTCTTTATAAAAGTTAAGAGTCAGCCACGCCTACCTAAAACGGCTCGTTCTAACACGCCCCCACATATCTACGTACATAGTGATGTGGGAAGATTTGCATAACGCCGCCCAAATGTTCACGCAAAGAAAGAAGGCGTAACTTTTATTCTCGCTGTAGTATTGTTGCCGCCGCCGCCATGTCGTGAAGGTGCTGTGTGATTCGTTGTGAAAGCGAAACTAATTTGTTTGGCCTTCCAAAAGAGGACGATATCCGCTTTGTCATGCCTGGAGCTGATCCGTGCTGGTCGCTGAGGAAATATATCAACTTCGCGCTGTGGATCGCCGGATCGGCTTTCATCGTGGACGAAGCAGAGTCCAGCCCGGGGTCGTCACATGTGGTTGCCGCAAGCTCGCCAGACGTTCCTTCGTCGAATCCGCCGGCCGCGCCGTTCTCAAGCCCACAGGCCTCTGCTCACTCTAGCCCCCGGCCTCTGCTCCCTTTAGCCCGACACATTTCATTACACCAAATACACCAGATAATGTTCTTTTTAGCAGCATCATATGACCCCTTTAAAATTTAATTTATTCCTGTGACGGCAAAGCTGAATTTTCAGCAGTCATTACTTCAGTCTTCAGTGTCACATGATCTTTCAGAAATCATTCTGACATGCTTATTTGGTGCTCAAGAAACATTTCTTTGTTATATATGTTATATAGCATATTATCGATGCTGAAAACAGTTGTGCTGTTTAATTTTATGTGAAATAAGCTAGAAAGTGGCAAGCTGAAATGTGCCCCAAAACCATCTAAAACTAGCCAGACCAGCATGATCAGGCAGGGAGACGAGTTAAGATCAGAAAACCAGCTGAGGCAGCAGCAGGATGGTCTGATGCTAGAGGCAAAACACTTTGTGCTAACAAAGGATATTCCGTGTTTAGTGTCATATTTGTTTTTGTTTATTGGTTGTTTAAGATGGTTTCAAACTGATTGTGTGTCTGTTCACATTAGGAGTGTGGGCGTGATCGCCTATATGCTTGTGACAGGAGAGTCTCCTTTCGTTGGCGAGGATAAACAGGAGACCTTCCTAAACGTATCCCAGGTGAACGTGGACTACAGCAGAGACGCTTTCTCAAGGGTGTCTGAGCTGGCTGTTGACTTCATCCAGAAACTGCTGGTCAAAACACCAGAGTGAGTCTGAGTGACTCTGATTTCAGACAGTTAGAGGAAGTTAAGCTTGTTTTCCAAGCTCAGTACTGTGCAAAATAATGTACACTACTGCTTCTAGATGAAGAGTCATATGATAAGTGCTATGGGAAACCCTTTTCCACTTAAAGAACAGTTATTATTCTGGGTCATATGATTTTATTATGCATTAAAGAGTTTTAGAAATGAAGTCATTTCAGTAAGCTTACAAATTAACTTGTCCAATGATCACTCTTTTATGGCTCAAAGGACTTTTTCTTTTGCCATGGATTGTATAACTATTGGTTTTCACAAAGTATAAAGTCCAGCTATCAATTTCTTTTAATTTGACTTCAAACATTCGCACATTTGTAAAAAACTTTTAAGCATGAAAGCAACTAAGATTAAATGACTCTTTAGCAAAAAAAAGAAGCAAAAAGCTTTGCTTGTTCTAAATAGAGTTCAGATGGTAGATTTGCACTTGTTGTCATAAACTAAATGATGTACTTTGATTTTATTACTGCTCTTTACTGATAGTTTCAGCATAATAGTATCAGAATGGTTTCCATTCAGCCACGTATCAAAGTCATTTACAAGAATTCTCCCCTTCTTTATCAGGGATCGTCCCAGTGCAGCCGATTGCATGACCCATCCTTGGTTGTGGCTCCATTGTCCAGGTTCTGATCCGATCCCCGTGACCCCACGCATTCCCCGGGAAAGGAGTTTCGGTGGGAAGTGGTCCGCACCACCCGAGGATCCTGAAGACAAAGAGAACATTTTGGACTCGCCTCACGGCAAGAGGTTTCGCTTTGAGGAGGACATGTCAGCCACGGGCGATGGTGACCACTTATGCTGATCCGAAAGGGAAATGCACATGCACTGAATAGCATTGTCACGTTTTTGGTCCTTTTTGTTGGCCCCCACACAGCACCAGCAAACATGCTTCTGTCCTAATGCTGTTTTCACCATCCTTTGGCCGACCAAAGATGATCTTTTCACAAAAGGGCCAAATCTGGTGTAATATTAATATTATAATAGTGAGAATCTTAGTATCTATGTTGCTGTCCTGTCTCACGATGCTTTTTCCTGGCGTCTTTGGATTTTAAATTATTAATTTGAATATATTTCTATTTTAATTGCCATTCAGTATCGATTTTATTTTCTGCTTATCTTAGCCCATATTAATCTCAACACTATTTCCATAACTGCACTTAAGGAATTTTCCACAATAAGGTATTTGAAAAAGACAGATGCAAGAGAGCGGCAGGGCATTCAGTGCTTTTTAATTCTGCTTTCACTGAAGAGAATCTTTGTTCTTTGTGTCTCAACATCAGAAAGAGTTTGTATGATTAGACTGTGTTGATTCTGAAACACCTAGTGAGATGGTCTCCTTTAAAAAGCTTCAGTACAGGAATGCCCTCGGTGTATGGGTGCGTGTTTTGTCTTACATCCTCTTCTTTCTTGTGGTATTGACACATTAGTGGGCTCCGTAAAAATGTGACTCAACTCAAACACGCACAACACACCCTGGATTACACAAATATGTGTTTGTATCGGTCATAGAACTTCCTCCTAGATAATGACTAAAGAAAAGCAGGAAAGCACTTAAACCCTCTATTATATGTGTTTGTGTCACTAAAATATGAGAAAATAATTGTGACCGCATTAGATTTTGTAAATCGAATGTATCTATTGATTTTAAAATCATTCTTGTTTTAAATGTTCCCTTTTTTACTGCCAACATATTGTATAATAAACTATTGTTACGCACCATTCTAGCGTTCCCCCATGGCAGGCACCTAATATGTCAGTGCCTGTGATGGTCAATGATATACATATTCTTGAAATGACCGTTTTTATCTATGCACCAATCTGAGGTAACAGGGTTTTTGTTACCTTTTTTTTTTGAACAGGTGTTTTTAAGCTAATGCTATTAACTGATGGAGGTTTCAGTACTTGTTCATTCCGAGCCTTGTTCTCAGGGTTAGCTGTAACTGCAGTTTACCACTATATATTTCTTCAGTGCCTTTGTGTGCATTTTTTCTTCTATGCGTACAGCCTGACTTCATCTTCTGTAATACCAGTGCAGCACATTTATGTGGCTGTATTATTATTAATGTTTATCCTGTTTTAATTGAGATACTGGTACACACTTTAAACTGATGGCCTGGTGTATTTAAAGTAAATTATTTGTATGCTCTTTTGGTTATGGAAGTATATATTGTATTCAGTGGGATTTAGAAAGGAGTGTTAGAGTTAAAGTTGTATTTATGGCCTTGGATTATGTAGGGCATGAAAAGATGGGTTATCGAAGTTGGCTGTTATTGTCAAAATGATATGGTTATGTTCTGATAGTGAAGCATGTTTTGTTGTGATGAAAGTACAGGGTGTGAATTCTGGAATGAAGGCAAATGAATGTTAGAATATTGTGGCGGAAAGTAGAAAGTGTGTAGTAATGCAACGAATGAGGGTTAGCAAAAATACAACTGGAACAGCTTATGGTTTATTTGTGTAATAATTTGTTGACAGCTTTTCTGAGTGGCTACTAGAACCGGAAATGTTAGAATTCAGTCTTCAGGTCGAGCCCTTCGGTTCTTGTTCTCTGTTTAAAGAGGTGTGAAGAGCTCATGTGTGTTTGCGTGCTAAGGGTCTTACGGTTTCCCAGAGATGTCACCAGTCTGCAATCATAATAGGGCTATTGTCTCCTAAGACGAGAGGCTCTTGTCACGGTCGTGTGCTCACTGTATGCCGTCATCTTAAAGGAAACTTGAATCTATTCCTTGCCTGGGAAACAACCTCAATAATGTTTAAAGGGCCATGATGTATTTGAAGCTGGAATTCAATCCAGAATAGCATTTCTGAGCAGTCACTGTGGTATTTGCAGAAAGCTTGTGACAAACTTTGTAAGGACACTTAAGGGATAAACGTTCTTGATTCTCTTACTATCTTAGGCAGGATTAGTGAAAACTGATAATGGAAGATGCTTCAATTCATGATGAAAACTGTGTATTTTGAGTTATATGTACCGGAATAAATGATGTTCAAATGATTTACACAAATTCTAATAAAGCCATTGAGTATAGAGTTGAAAAGGATGTACCCTTAATATAGATTTTGTATGTTGTTGATTTATGACCCATAACAATCATTTCCAATTTTGTTTTTAAAATAAGACATCCCTCATGCAATGTCATTGATTTATTTATCTAGCCCTGACACATGTAGACTTGAATAAATTATTATCTGACACTTTTGTTTTCCTTCTTAAATTTTCCATGACTAATAAGTAATAATAATAATAATGTTAAGCGAACTGCCTTTCACTAAGTTCAAGGATATTGAGTATAAATATCTATATCCAAGGATACAGAGTAGGATATAGTATTTATATGCGTTTAAATAACTCCCTCTCTCTATAGATTAATTTGTGTATAGATAGATAGATGTACTTATGTAATTAAATGTAATTATTTCTAATTAAACAGATCACTGAAACATTTCAACATTTTTATTGAATTTCATCAGCTTGGAATGACTATGAAGCAGGAAGTACATTCATCGCATTACACGGAGTATATTGCAAAATTCACGTTCATATTTGTGATACAATGAAAACAATCCAAATAACGTGCGCCACCTAGTCTTCTGACCATTGCGCAGTCAATAAAACATTTTACTACCAAGTCAGTAAATTAAATATTTTTAAATTATTTTTTTTTCATCTAACCAAAAATATATTCTATACATCTGATTCCAATGGAAGATCCTTAGATGTTTTGTATTTGATTATTAAATAAAATAAATACCACATATTGAACACAAAGATAGAACATATATATATATATATATATATATATATATATATATATACATACATATATACAGTGGGTACGGAAAGTATTCAGACCCCCTTAAATTTTTCACTCTTTGTTATATTGCAGCCATTTGCTAAAATCATTTGTTAATTTTTTTCCTCATTAATGTACACACAGCACCCCATATTGACAGAAAAACACAGAATCGTTGACATTTTTGCAGATTTATT